CTACCACAACCCACCACAACCCACCACCCCTTACCACAACACACCACCACCTACCACAACTCACCACAACCCACCACCCCCTACCACAACTCACCACAACTCACCACAACCCACCACCCCCTACCACAACTCACCACAACCCACCACCCCCGACCACAACTCACCACAACACACCACAACCCACCACCCCCTACCACAACTCACCACAACCCACCACCCCCCTCCACAACTCACCACAACCCACCACAACTCACCACCACCTACCACAACCCACCACAACCCACCACCCCCTTCCACAACTCACCACAACCCACCACCCCCTACCACAACTCACCACAACCCACCACTCCCTTCCACAACTCACCACCACCTACCACAACTCACCACAACCCACCACCACCTACCACAACTCACCACAACCCACCACCCCCGGCCACAACTCACCACAACCCACCACCCCCTACCACAACGCACCACAACCTACCACAACTCACCACAACTCACCACAACCCACCACAACCCACCACCACCTACCACAACTCACCACAACCCACCACCACCTACCACAACTCACCACAACCCACCACCACCTACCACAACCCACCACAACCCACCACCCCCTACCACAACTCACCACAACTCACCACAACCCACCACAACCCATCACCACCTTCCACAACTCACCACAACCCACCACAACCCACCACCCCCTACCATAACTCACCACAACCCACCACCCCCTACCACAACTCACCACAACTCACCACAACCCACCACCCCCTACCACAACTCACCACAACCCACCACCCCCTTCCACAACTCACCACAACCCACCACAACTCACCACCACCTACCACAACCCACCACAACCCACCACCCCCTTCCACAACTCACCACAACCCACCACCCCCTACCACAACTCACCACAACCCACCACCCCCTTCCACAACTCACCACCACCTACCACAACTCACCACAACCCACCACCACCTACCACAACTCACCACAACCCACCACCCCCTTCCACAACTCACCACAACCCACCACCCCCTGCCACAACTCACCACCATCTACCACACCTCACCACAACTCACCACAACTCACCACAACCCACCACCACCTACCACAACTCACCACAACCCACCACCACCTACCACAACTCACCACAACCCACCACCACCTACCACAACCCACCACAACCCACCACCACCTACCACAACTCACCACAACCCACCCACCCCCTACCACAACTCACTACAACCCACCACCCCCTACCACAACTCACCACAACTCATCACAACCCACCACAACCCACCACCCCCTTCCACAACTCACCACAACCCACCACCCCCTACCACAACTCACCACAACTCACCACAACCCACCACAACCCATCACCACCTTCCACAACTCACCACAACTCACCACAACCCACCCACCCCCTACCACAACTCACCACAACCCACCACTCCCTACCACAACTCACCACAACCTACCACAACTCACCACAACCCACCACCCCCTACCACAACTCACCACAACCCACCACCCCCTTCCACAACTCACCACAACTCACCACAACCCACCACCACCTACCACAACTCACCACCACCTACCACAACCCACCACAACCCACCACCCCTTACCACAACCCACCACCACCTACCACAACTCACCACAACCCACCACCCCCTACCACAACTCACCACAACTCACCACAACTCACCACCCCCTACCACAACTCACCACAACCCACCACCCCCTACCACAACTCACCACAACTCACCACAACCCACCACCCCCTACCACAACTCACCACAACCCACCACAACCCACCACAACCCACCACAACTCACCACCACCTACCACAACCCACCACAACCCACCACCCCCTACCACAACTCACCACAACCCACCACTCCCTTCCACAACTCACCACCACCTACCACAACTCACCACAACCCACCACCACCTACCACAACTCACCACAACCCACCACCCCCTTCCACAACTTACCACAATCCACCACCCCCTACCACAACTCACCACAACCTACCACAACTCACCACAACTCACCACAACCCACCACAACCCACCACCACCTACCACAACTCACCACAACCCACCACCACCTACCACAACTCACCACAACCCACCACCACCTACCACAACCCACCACAACCCACCACCACCTACCACAACTCACCACAACCCACCCACCCCCTACCACAACTCACTACAACCCACCACCCCCTACCACAACTCACCACAACTCATCACAACCCACCACAACCCACCACCCCCTTCCACAACTCACCACAACCCACCACCCCCTACCACAACTCACCACAACTCACCACAACCCACCACAACCCATCACCACCTTCCACAACTCACCACAACTCACCACAACCCACCCACCCCCTACCACAACTCACCACAACCCACCACTCCCTACCACAACTCACCACAACTCACCACAACTCACCACCACCTACCACAACTCACCACAACCTACCACAACTCACCACAACTCACCACAACCCACCACCACCTACCACAACTCACCACAACCCACCACCCCCTACCACAACTCACCACAACTCACCACAACCCACCACCACCTACCACAACTCACCACCACCTACCACAACCCACCACAACCCACCACCCCTTACCACAACCCACCACCACCTACCACAACTCACCACAACCCACCACCCCCTACCACAACTCACCACAACCCACCACAACCCACCACCCCCTACCACAACTCACCACAACCCACCACCACCTACCACAACTCACCACAACTCACCACAACCCCCCACCCCCTACCACAACTCACCACAACCCACCACCCCCTTCCACAACTCACCACAACCCACCACAACCCACCACCACCTACCACAACCCACCACAACCCACCACCCCCTTCCACAACTCACCACAACCCACCACCCCCTACCACAACTCACCACAACCCACCACTCCCTTCCACAACTCACCACCACCTACCACAACTCACCACAACCCACCACCACCTACCACAACTCACCACAACCCACCACCCCCTTCCACAACTCACCACAACCCACCACCCCCTACCACAACTCACCACAACCTACCACAACTCACCACAACTCACCACAACCCACCACAACCCACCACCACCTACCACAACTCACCACAACCCACCACCACCTACCACAACTCACCACAACCCACCACCACCTACCACAACCCACCACAACCCACCACCACCTACCACAACTCACCACAACTCACCACAACTCACCACAACCCACCACAACCCACCAGTTCTCCCAAAGCCCGCCCCACGCCTTCACCACCTCCCGGGGCATCGACGCCTCGCCGCCTCCCACTCCAGACGTGTCACGTGAATTCATGACGATGATGATGATGGTGATGTTGGTGGTGGTGGTGGTGGCCATGATTAATTGATGATGTTTATTGCGTGATGATTAATTGATGGTTCATCATGGCGACTCTGAGAAGAAAATGACGATGATGGTTTTGATGACGCACGCTCTTGTAAGGCAGAAACCCTCACCACGAACCCTCACCACGAACCCTCACCACGAACCCTCACCACGAACCCTCACCACGAACCCTCACCACGAACCCTCACCACGGACCCTCACCACGAACCCTCACCACGGGTGTTCACCACGAACCCTCACCACGAACCCTCACCACGGGTCCTCACCACGAACCCTCACCACGAACCCTCACCACGAACCCTCACCACGAACCCTCACCACGGGTGTTCACCACGAACCCTCACCACGAACCCTCACCACGAGTCCTCACCACGAACCCTCACCACGAACCCTCACCACGAGTCCTCACCACGAGTCCTCACCACGAGTCCTCACCACGAACCCTCACCACGAACCCTCACCACGGGTCCTCACCACGAACCCTCACCACGAGTCCTCACCACGAGTCCTCACCACGGACTCTAACCACGGACCCTCACCACGAACCCTCACCACGAACCCTCACCACAAACCCTCACCAAAAACCCTCACCACGTACCCTCACCACGGGTTCTCACCACGAACTCTCACCACGAACCCTCACCACGAGTCCTCACCACGAGTTCTCACCACGAACCCTCACCACGAGTCCTCACCACGAGTCCTCACCACGAACCCTCACCACGGACTCTCACCACGAGTCCTCACCAAGAAACCTCACCACGAGTCCTCACCACGAGTCCTCACCACAGGTCCTCACCACGGACTCTCACCAGGAACCCTCACCACAAACCCTCACCACGAACCCTCACCACGAACCCTCACCACGGACCCTCACCACGAACCCTCACTACGGACCGCGATTATAATCGACTCATATTTAAAACGAAACAAAAACTTTGAGTGGGGCAGGCGGCTGGGCGGTGGCGCAGCGATTAGCGCACTGCGCTACGAATCCAGCCGAGTTTCATTCCCGGCCACGGCTACCGTCAGTGGCGAGTGAGGTCTCAACCGGTCATGCTAGCCCCCCCGCTCTCCCCCTTTCACCAAACCCAACTGCCCTGCGTGGTGAAGTATGGTCACAGCCCCCCCCCCCCACCACGCCGACCGAATGCCTTCATCCAGCAGCGGTTAACAAACGGCGGCAGCGTCTTCATTCTGTTCACTCGCGTCTTGGCGCTCGCCTCGCCCGTCCGCGCCGTCATCTGCCAGTGCGAGGAGACGAATCGGGCACGAGGGGGAAGGGGGGGGGGGCTCGGGGGGCGGGGCTGCGGGGGGTGGGGAGATTGGGGAGGGAGGGAAGGAGAAAAAAAATCGTGCACGCGATGCGCCCTGAATATCAACAGCTCCTCCAATCCACCTCACTCTCCCCCCCCCCTCTCTCCCTCTGCCTCTCTCTCTCTCCCTTCCTCTCTCTCCATCTCGAGCTCTCCACCACCACCCCCCCCACCACTGAACCCCCGCCCCCCTCTAACCACCCCCCCCCACCAACCCGACCCCGTAACGCCCAGGCGCGCGAGGAGCCGCAGAGAAGCAACGTCGGCGCGGAGGGCACCCCGCCTCGTGCTCTCCCCATGCCGGCCGCGCGGGCCTCCTCCCCGTGGCTCTGCGCGGCCCTGGCCTTGACCTGGGCCGCGCTGCTGTGGCCCGCGAGGGGCGCGCACAGAGGCCCCAAGAGCGCGCACAGCAGAGCGGTCGGTGACGCCGTCGACGCCGCCGCCGCCGCCGCTGGTGAACGAGGAGGAGGAGGCGCGAACAGCAACCACGTGGAGAAGCCGCGCCCGGTGGACGCCGCCTCCAGCCTGCGCGAGATCGCGCTGCTCCAGGAGGAGCTGTGGAACCTGCACGAGGAAATCCTCGAGCTCCACCGACAGATCCACGGCCTCGAGAATCACGACGCCGCCGAGCGCCGACGCGACCCGCAGCCGGGTCCCGACCGCGGGTCCGCGACCGCCGCCAACTCCAGCGGCGTCGCGCGAGTTGGCGGCGGTCGTGGACAGCAGCGGCAGCGGCAGGAGGAGCAGGAGCAGGAGGAGGAGGACGCCGCCGCAGAGGCGACCATGCTGAGCGGCCGCGTGTGCATGGACGCGAGGGGCCACGTGTACCGCGTGGGCGACAAGTTCACTGCGGGCACCTCGCGCTGCCCCTGCGTGTGCACGGCCCAGGGCCCGCTGTGCCCGCGGCCGCAGTGCCCGCGGCTGCCCCGCAGGTGCGTGCGCGTGCGTCACGGCGGGTGCTGTCCCGTGTGCAGGGAGGTGCGCAACTTCTGCGTGCACCGCGGACGCCGCTACCGCCTCCTGGACGAGTTCCAGGTGAGGGAGGGGGGGCGGCGGGGTGGGGGGCAGTGGTGGTGGTAGTGGGGGGAGCCGGGGTGGTGGGCAGTGGTGGTGGTTGTGGTGGGGTAGGGGTTGGGTAGGGGTGGGGGCGGGGTGGGGGGCAGTGGTGGTGGTGGGGGGAGCCGGGGTGGGGGTTGGTGGTGGTTGGGGGGTTGGGGTGGGGGGGTTGGTGGTGGTGGGGTATGGGTGGGTTGGGGGTTGGTGGTGGTGGTGGAGGGAGCCGGGGTGGGGGGCAGTGGTGGTGGTGGTGGGGGTCGAGGTGGGGGTTGGTGGTGGGGGGGCCGGGGTGGGGGGCAGTGGTGGTGGTGAGGGGGTAGGGGTTGGGTAGGGGTGGGGGGCAGTGGTGGTGGTGGTGGGGTAGGGGTTGGGTAGGGGTGGGGGGCAGTGGTGGTGGTGGTGGGGGGAGCCGGGGTGGGGGTTGGTGGTGGTTGGGGGGTTGGGGTGGGGGGGTTGGTGGTGGTGGGGTATGGGTGGGGTGGGGGTTGGTGGTGGTGGTGGAGGGAGCCGTGGTGGGGGGCAGTGGTGGTGGTGGTGGGGGTCGAGGTGGGGGTTGGTGGTGGGGGGGCCGGGGTGGGGGGCAGTGGTGGTGGTGAGGGGGTCGGGGTGGGGGTTGGTAGTGGGGGGGCCGGGGTGGGGGTTTGGGGGTAGTGGTGGTGGGGGGGGGGGTTGGGGTTGCTGATGGTGGTGGGTGGGGGGTTGGTGGTGGTGGTGGTGAGGGGGGTACCTGCAGGGACTGTAGCTGGTGGTGGCTGGGCGACTCGTCAGTGTTGATGAGACCACGTGCGCGCTTCAAGCGTGGGGTTCCCGGTGTGCGAGGAATTTCTCTCGGCGCTCGATGGCAACAGCAGCAGCGGGAGGCGAGACGCAAACCTGTCAACCCCCTTATCAGTGCCCTACTACACTCACCACTAGTACACTCACCACTAGTACACTCACCACTAGTACACTCACCACTACTACACTCACCACTAGTATACTCACCACTAGTACACTCACCACTAGTACACTCACCACTAGTACACTCACCACTACTACACTCACCACTAGTACACTCACCACCACTACAGTCACCACTACACTCACCACTACAACACTCACCACTAGTACACTCACCACTAGTATACTCACCACTAGTACACTCACCACTAGTACACTCACCACTAGTACACTCACCACTACTACACTCACCACTAGTACACTCACCACCACTACAGTCACCACTACACTCACCACTACAACACTCACCACTAGTACACTCACCACTACTACACTCACCACTAGTACACTCACCACCACTACAGTCACCACTACACTCACCACTACACTCACCACTAGTACACTCACCACTAGTACACTCACCACTACTACACTCACCACTACTACACTCACCACTAGTACACTCACCACCACTACAGTCACCACTACACTCACCACTACAACACTCACCACTAGTACACTCACCACTACTACACTCACCACTAGTACACTCACCACCACTACAGTCACCACTACACTCACCACTACACTCACCACTAGTACACTCACCACTAGTACACTCACCACTACTACACTCACCACTACTACACTCACCACTAGTACACTCACCACTACTACAATCACCACTACACTCAACACTAGTACACTCACCACTACTACACTCACCACTACACTCACCACTAGTACACTCACCACTAGTACACTCACCACTACTACACTCACCACTACACTCACCACTAGTACACTCACCACTAGTACACTCACCACTACACTCACCACTAGTACACTCACCACTAGTACACACACCACTAGTACACTCACCACTAGTACACTCACCACTAGTACACTCACCACTACTGCACTCACCACTAGTACACTCACCACTAGAACACTCACCACTAGTACACTCACCACTAGTACACTCACCACTAGTACACTCACCACTACACTCACCACTAGTACACACACCACTACACTCACCACTACCACACTCACCACTAGTACACTCACCACTACTACACTCACCACTAGTACACTCACCACTAGTACACTCACCACTAGTACACTCACCACTACACTCACCACTAGTACACTCACCACTAGAACACTCACCACTAGTACACTCACCAACAGTACACTCACCACTAGTACACTCACCACTAGTACACACACCACTACACTCACCACTACCACACTCACCACTAGTACACTCACCACTAGTACACTCACCACTACACTCACCACTACTACACTCACCATTAGTACACCCACCACTACACTCACCACTAGTACACTCACCAGTACACTCACCACTACTCTCACCACTAGTACACTCACCACTACACTCACCACTACAGTCACCACTAGTCCACTTACCAGTACACTCACCACTACTCTCACCACTAGTACACTCACCACTACACTCACCACTACACTCACCACCACTACACTCACCACTACACTCACCACTACTACACTCACCACAAAACTTTCCACTACTACACTCACCACTAGTACACTCACCACTACACTCACCACGAGTACACTCACCACTACACTCACCACTACCTACCTGTCAACCCCCTTATCAGTGCCCTACCTTATTACAGACCCGTTCAGACCTAATTGGTCACCCCAGTGCCCCTAATACATCTCAACGTTCATCCTACAAAGTCCCATCGCAAGGGAGAAACACAGACAGATTTTTTTGTTGCCCGTATTGAAACGGCTGTACGCCGTACGGACCTGAAAACGAAATTTCCCTGTACAAGACTACGGGGTAAAACCGTATGGGTTGACACGGTACGTGGTGTCGAAGTCAGTGTGAAGCTGCTGCCGCTGCTCTTGCTGCCAGCCACGACGAGCGGGCTTCAGCAGAGACACACACTGACACACAACAACGCCACTAAGGGGCGGTGATGTCACCACGACGCTTGTGCCAGGCCATGTGCACCTTGAGGCCACGTGAAGTGTCGAACGCCCGCTGACAGGAGGTCACGGGGCAGACCCCGCGGTGCCACGGGTCGACTGACTAAGATGACTGGCTGATGCACCACCTGTGCCCCCTACTGTGCCAACCTGCTGTGCTTTAGCCACCCGGCGCTCTGCTCGTTGTTGTGAGCGTCGATCCTCTGCCTCCAACTGCCCAGTAGCGTCCTTCACGAGCCTACTCCTCCACAGAGGCCGATCTTGACACCGCTGGTACCAGTCATCGGCAAGTCCACTCAGCTCCACGTCCTCCTGTACCACATCACTCCATCTCTTCTCTAGCCCGAACCGCGCCCGTTTAGCCCCCTCGATCCGGCCGAACAAAAGCTGTTTCGGCATACGGTGGCTGGGTATGCGGGCTACATGACCCAGCCAACGCAGCCTTGCCTGCCGGAGGAGCTCATCGATTGGACCTTGCCCAGATATTTCAAGGATTCGTGAGCTCCTCACACAATCCAGCCTGGTTAAACCCAGGATGGATCGTAGGCAGGCTAGCCTAAATGTTTCTAACCGGCGAAGATGTTCCATTAAGGGGGTCCACGTTTCGCAAGCGTAGAGAAGGGAGGGAATGACCGTGGCCGAGAAGATCTGAAGCTTCGTGCGGAGCGACAGACCAGGTAGCTTCTACACAGCGTTACGCAACCGATGAAAAGATATTGCCGCTCGACTGATTCGGCGTGAGACCTCTGCTGTTAAACTGGAGCCGGTCATACGCACACTGCCCAGGTATGGGAAACTCTCCACTCTCTTCACAACTGCCCCATCACCGATTGGGAGTTGTGGGGGTGGAGTGTCCGATGGTACAAAATACCCAGGCAGGTGCTTAGTTTTGGTGGGGCTGATGGTAAGGCCCCATCTCTTAGTGGCACGCTCCAGTCTCAGCAGCAGCGTCTCCAACTCCTCTGAATGAGCAGCTTTTACCAAATCATCGGCATACATAACGTGGTTGAGCAATAGGGAGCCATCACTTGACCGCACCCGGGCATCGATAAGCCTCCCATTATATCTGTACCAAATGGAGATTCCCCCGGTACAGCTATTGAAGGCTTCGTGAACTACGTAATCAAAAATAGATGTTAAATAATGTGGGAGCAAGAGGACATCCCTGTCGCACCCCAAGGTGTACAGGGAATGGCTCTGACTCCCGGCCACATAGTTTTACCCGGGCCCACTCACCATCATGAAGGTCCTAAATGATCGTGAGGGACTCCAAAAGCACGAAGAACAACCCAGAGCCCAGGCCTACTGATAATATCATAGGCCTTGACAAGGTCAATAAAGCAGAGATATAGGTCTTGCTAGAATTCCCTACACCTCTGCTGTAGCAGACGGACAGAAAATATGGCATTTGTGCAGGACCGCCCTTTCCTGAAACCGCATTGGGGCTTCGCAAGCCTCTCCTCAGCGTGCCTGGCAAGGCGATGTTGAATAATCCTTGCCAGGACCTATCCGGGCACACTGAGGAGTGAGATGCCCCTGTAGTTGTTACAGTCTGTGCGGTCCCCCTTCTTCAAGAGGGGGACCACCAGGGCATCCTTCCAATCCTGCTGAGCCCGTCCAGTGGTCCAGACTGTTGTTATGATGTCATATAGGGCACATGATCTCCCAAGCATTTCGCTTGGGAGATCATCTCTGCCCGGTGCCTTTCCTGATCTCAGATCTCGGATCGCCTTCAGTACTTCCTCAACAGATGGCACCTCAGCCAGCCTCTCACAGGGGGTGACTTCTTCCAATATTTGAGGCACCGCAGCCTCAGCAGGGTCATCCCCACTTTGTGCCACAATGTTTTCTTGGCTGAGGGATTTCCCCTCCCCCAGGACCTCACAGAAATGCTCAGCAAATCTGCAAATCTGTTCCTGGGGGTCGGAGATAGGATCACCATTTTTTCCCCTAATGATGGTAATAGGTGTGGTGCTGCAGGTTACTTTTTTGATGGAGTTAAATAGAGATTTGTGATCGCGGGCCACTGAGGCAGACTCCATCTCCTCAGC